TTGATACATATTATTTAGTGTGAGTTAAATTTTATTTAAATTTTTGCCAAAAGAATGTATAAGAATGTAAGCAAAATCACATAAATATGCAATAAGACTACACTGAATTTTATGTTAACCATATGCATTATATCAAAATAAGATTCTTTATAATTTCAGGTATAGGTATACAAATTTCATCAATTTCAAAACACATGGCTTCAAACGTATGAAAATGCTATGAAAAGACAGTAGCATTTTACAGAGCTAAGAAATAGATAATTAGTAGTAATATAAGGTAAAAGTACCATTCCTAGTAATCCTAGATCCTTAGTCCCCACTCCCCTGCCTCAAGAAACACTTAAATAACCTGTAGTTTACAGATATAACGATTTTCCTCTTCACAAGATTCATCCATACCACTGTTCATTGCCTTATATATTGTGCATTTCTTTGGATTTGGAGTTTTAATCAGTGGAAATCTGTAATGCAGAAGAAAATATTCACATATGGGAGAAAAAAAGAAGTGAGAATGTTCAGGGATTTTTTTTTTATTAAAGTATAGAACTTTTTTTTTTTTTTGAGACAGGGTCTCACTATGTCACCCTCGGTAGAGTGCTAGGCGTCACAGCTCACAGCAACCTCAAACTCTTGGGCTTAAGTGATTCTCCTGCCTTAGCCTCCTGAGTAGCTGGGACTACTGGCACCTGCATCAACACCCAGCTATTATTTTATTTTTGGTTGTAGTAGTCATTGTTGTTTAACAGGTCCAGGCAGGGTTAGAACCCACCAGCCTCAGTGTATGTGGCTGGCGCCCTACTCACTAAGCCATGGGTGCTGAGCCAAAGTATAGAACTTTTTTTTTTTTTTGAGACAGAGCATCACTTTATCACCCTCTATACAGTGCCATTGTGTTGCAGCTCACAGCAACCTCCAGCTCTTGGGCTTAGGTGATTCTCTTGCCTCAGCCTCCCGAGTAGCTGGGACTATAAGCACCTGCCACAATACCTGGCTATTTTTTGTTGCAGTTTGGCTGGGGCCTGGTTTGAACCCACCACCCTTGGTATATGGGGCCAGAGCCCTACTCACTGAGCCACAGGCACAGCCCCAAAGTATAGAACTTTTAAAAGGATTTAAATGAGATATTAACATGTTGAATTTTATTGTTCTTTCTATAATGATAATTTTCATCTTTCCAAAAATAAAATATTAATATTCCAACACACTCAGTTACTCCCTTACTAATCAGTAGCACTGGGGCTGGCGATTTTTTTTTAGTTTTGCCATTGTCATTAATGGTTTTGATGTGTGCAATGCTTTACTTTCATTTTATTTAACATGTATTGTCTGATCTCATCTAGGAAAACAACCAGAGCACAAACTCTAATACTGTGTGATGCTGAAAATCTCACATTTATGAGTGAAAATGGGATTCAGGCCGGGTGCGGTTGCTCACACCTGTAATGCTACGACTCTAGGCAGCCGAGGAAGGTGGATTGCTTGAGCTCATGAGTTCGAGACCAGCCTGAGCAAAAGTGAGACCCTGTCTCTACTAAAAAAAATAGAAAAACTGAGGCAAGAGGATTGCTTGAGACCAAGTGGGAGGTTTCTGTGAGCTATGATGCCATAGCACTCTACCCCAGGTGACAGCTTGAGACCCTGTCTCAAAACAAAAGAAAAGAAAATGAGATTCAAATGTTATAAAATATAGAAAATAAGTCCAGAATATTTAACAGAGGATGCTGAGAGCACTGGGCACCACCAGAATAAAATATAATGGACACACCATTTTCTCTGGACTGCCCCTGTGCGCGTGAGCACCTGTCTGTACATGCACATGTATGTCCAAGGGTTTTATTAAGGCAAACTAAAGCTCATGTCAAAAGTTCCTTTATGATCACAAACACACTAATTTTCATGTCCTTGAGCATATACTTAGATATAGGTGGAGCAAAAACAGTTCTCTGTTGCACCTTCTCTTTTTTCTGTTTTCTCATGCTCTAGGCAGGTTATTTTAGTTTCAGTGCTCCTAGATGCTACCCCCACTAGTCAAATTTAGGGATAAATTTGCAAAGCTCAAAAAAGGACTTGACTACTGGAAACTTACAAATCCCGCGAAAAAGAAGAGCCATCCTCCCAAAACCAGGCAGCGTGTTCTTCATTGTAGGTGAGTCCAATCCAGTAAAAGTGTTGACTGGAGTGCATAAAAGCCTGCTTAGAGTCAGAGACAAACATATTAGCTGCTTTGAATGTTTTCTGGATATAATGTCTTTTTAAGGACATCTGTGTTCAGAATAAGATTCAGCTTGTCCATAATACAAACTACTTTCATACCAATTTAGAAAGTATAGTCAGATGCCTCAAATTTCTCATTTATCC